AAATGTCCACTATATCAAAACACCACAATTTTCTATACAAACTTGTCAAAATTGCGTCCATATGCAAATGTCCACTATATCAAGACACTACAATTTTCTATACAAACTTGTCAAAATTGCGTCCATAAGCAAGTGTCCACCATATCAAATCACTGCACATCTCCTACACAAACTTGTCAAAATTGCGTCCTAATACAAATGTCCACTATATCAAGTCCTTACACAGGACACTACACATTTACTACACAAACTTGTCAAAATTGCGTCCCAATACAAATGTCCACTATATCAACTCACTACACATTTACTACACAAACATGTCAAAATTGCGGACACAAGCAAATGTCCACTATGTCGAATCACTACACAAACATGTCAAAATTGCGTCCTCATGCAAATGTCCACTATATCAACTCACTACACACTTACTACACAAACAAGTCAAAATTGCGTCCACATGCAAATGTCCACTATATCAAATCACTACACACTTACTACAAACAAGTCAAAATTGCGTCCACATGCAACTGTCCACCACATCAAATCACCACACTTTTCTATAACAAACATGTCAAAATTGCGTCCTTGTACAAGTGTCCACCATATCAAATCACTACACTTTTCTATAACAAACATGTCAAAATTGCGTCCACTACACTTTTCCCATACTAGTGTCCACTATCTCAAACATCACACATTTCCTATGCAAAATCACAAAAATTGCGTCCATATATACCAATGTCCACTTTGTCAATGACCACACTTTGCCCATGCAAGCATGTCAAAATCATATACTGGTGTCCACTACATCAATCACTACACTTTTACTATGCAAACATGTCAAAATTGCGTCCACAAGCAAATGTCCACTATATCAAATCACCACACTTTTGCTACACAAACAAGTCAAAATTGCGTCCACAAGCAAATGTCCACTATATCAAATCACCACACTTTTGCTACACAAACAAGTCAAAATTGCGTCCACAAGCAAATGTCCACTATATCAAATCACCACACTTTTGCTACACAAACAAGTCAAAATTGCGTCCACAAGCAAATGTCCACTATATCAAATCACCACACTTTTGCTACACAAACAAGTCAAAATTGCGTCCACAAGCAAATGTCCACTATATCAAATCACCACACTTTTGCTACACAAACAAGTCAAAATTGCGTCCACAAGCAAATGTCCACTATATCAAATCACCACACTTTTGCTACACAAACAAGTCAAAATTGCGTCCATAAGCCTGGTGTCCACTATATCAAATCACTACACTTTTGCTACACAAACATGCCAAAATTGCGTCCACATGCAACTGTCCACTATATCAATCAATGCCCATCTCCTTACTCCAATAAGCCAAAATTGCGCCACACCACACTTTTACTACAAAAATAAATGTCCACCAATTCAACACAACACTTTTCTTATTCAAATAAGCCAAAAATGCGCCCAACACTGCACCTCCCTAGTCAACCGATCATTCCTAATCCTGACAAGTCATATTGAAATCATTTCACAGAGGAGACATGAACACAAACTGAATTATTGACTACACTACTACATTACTACACTACCCCAGATAATCTCTGACCATAGACCTGCCCTAAACCACTACGCTCAGAGTCAAGCAAAAATCCTAATGACCATTAGGGTTTAGCAAGACCCGCCCTGAACCACTACGCTCAGAGTCAAGCAAAAATCCTGATGACCATTAGTGTTTCATACGACCTGCCCTAAACCACTACGTCCGAAATCAAGCAAAAATCCTGATGACCATTAGGGTTTCGCGAGACCTGCCCTAAACCACCACGTCCAAAGTCGACCGACCAACCCCCGACGAGGGTCGGGGGTTCGCTTATGCGCGTCAGTTTCTTTCGCTTGCTTACCTTTGATTACTTTTTTTTCTTCTCTTCTTCGCCCCCTTTTTTTTCTCATCCTTTTCATTTTTCTTTCTCCCTTCGCCCCCCCCTTCCCTCTTCTCGCCATCGAAGCGCTTTCCTTCGCTCCCCTTCGAGACCCTCCCAAAGGAGGACCCCAAAGAGGAGCGTAGGTTCCTCCCTTGAAAGGGAGGACGCGCCCCTCCGGCGTACGCCCTTACCACGAGGCCAAGAGATGGCAGGCCTCGCGGTCTACAGCCGTACCAATAGGCTGGTTTCATAGATGAGGTCCGACGCATAGACCCCACCCGAGCACCCTCTGATCCTACGCAAGAGCATAGCAAAACGCTTGAAATCGCGCCCATCAGCTTAGTTGCTGACGAATGCACAGCGAAAACCCTCAAAAACGCGTCCATCAGCTTGATCGCCAACAAAAGCATGGCAAATACCCTCAAAAACGCGTCCATCGGCTTAATCGCCAGCAAAAGCATGGCAAATACCCTTGAAAACGCGTCCATTAACTTGTTTGCTAATGAAAGCATAGCGAAAACCCTCAAAAACGCGTCCATCAGCTTTGTTTGTTGTGCCTGCCCCATATAGTAGGAAAGCT